TCCCCTTGTCCCTCTTAAAAGAACATACAATACTTTACAGCAAAAATAAATGTATATCCGGAACAAAACTTCTTGTATTCAGAGTCATCTCTAAATATCAAACACGTAAGGGGCAGAAGGCAGTATGAGACAATTAGATTGTTTTGTGAGAGTGCAGATAGGTTAAAGCATCCAGTATGGATATCGAACCCAACCCAACTGAAGGAGTTCACTTACAAATACAGTCACTGCACTTCACAGAAACTTTTTGAAGAGCTTTGAGACATTCTTAGTATTATAGGCACACATCTAATACATGTATTATTATTATTCTAAGATAGGAGTGGGGGAGGAGGTGGAAGTAGTAATGAGCTGTGCAATCTATCCGTGAGGCATTTCACAGGGTAATTGATGAGCTTTGAATAGGAGAAAGGGAAAGACAGATATTCTCCTCTCCCCTCTGCAAAGGTGCCATTTGCAGGGTAACTGCAGGTGAGGGAATACAAGGAGAGGTCTGAACAAACCAGTTTCTCAAGATACAGCCGCATACTGAAAATGTCAAGCTACTAGCAGAACTCTTGCAAATAAGACTGATGCTCTGAGGAATTTGTTTAGCCTCAGTGAGCCTTAGTGATGTGCAGATCATAGTGTTAATAATAATAATAGTTGTATTTGATAAAGCGCCTTATCATACTGTCTCATGGAAAAGCGCTTCACAGGCCGTACTGTGTATTTTGTGGGCTAACGCAGCATTTAATTTACACACAGCAATGCCAACAAACAGTCATGAAGTGAATTTTATTTGGGGGATTGTTGGCCAGGACACCAAGAGAAACTCCCTTCTCTTTTCTATCATGATGTTGATTGTAATGGGCGGTGCATCTTCTGCCATATCCCTGGGATGTTCTGCCATGCAGTGAATAGAGGATCATTAACCAGGTGTCCTATCTCCGAGGAGGTTGAGAGGCGGAACATGGTTCGTGAGTTGGAGAATTATTCGGTTCAGTTGCAGAAGATGATAATGGTGGACATGGAACTCAATGCTTCACATTGATAGATATTGATGTGGACATAAAAAGATTGATAATTTTGTTGTTATTGCTTGTAATTTAATCCCTTTACCAGAATATGATTTGTGTATAATCCAATTATTAATTCTGTGTTAACTTATTACTAATATCAAGCCCCTGTTGATCATTTGCAAGACTGATTCTGGCTCTGGTCTGCTGCACATCCCCCGCCCCAACCACCCTACCATCGGTGGCCGGGCCTTCAGCCTCTCAGCCCCCAGGCTCTGGAACTCCATCCCCCAGTGCCTTCGCCGCCTCCTCCCTTTCCTCCTTCAAGGCCGGTCTCAAGACCTTTCTCTTCGACCGTGCCTTCAGCTCCCCTCTCGACTCTCTACCCCCTCCTCGCTCCATCCCTTCCCTCCCTTCACCCTGACCATTTCCCCCCTGCTCGGGTCTTGACCCAACTGTGCAGCGCCTTGGGATGTCCTCCCACCGTGAAAGGCGCTCTATAAATGAAATCTTGTTGTTGTTGATTGTCTGCGCATCCTTTTCTAATGTTTTCAACAAAGAAAGATGGGTCAATTTGGTATCGAGCAGCAATCACCTTCAATCTTCGGATCTGGAAAATAGTGCAGTGTTTTCCCATTTAAATTGAACTAAGTATTCACAGATTTTATCTCCTGTTTTGGATTACTGTAAGAAGCAATTGTTTATGGCTACTTCGATGTTGCCAAGCTGCTTGGAGCATGAAATTACATACAAAGAAGCCTACATAGTATGCTGATATGTTGTGAAATATTAGCTATGCTAAATGGAGTTCTGCCTGACATATTTTGGAGGTAGGACAAATGTTTTCAGATCATCTGATTAAATGGTATTGGGTGAAATCTGCCCATGGTCTGTGGCAGGATACACTTTGCAGGATATTTTGTAAAATGCAGTGAGTGTGTGCTTTGTAGGAAATGCAGCAGTTAGTTTGTGTACAACAATAACCCACAAACAGCCATGACATGCATGACCACATGGGGATTGTTGGCCATGACACCAGGAGAAGATTCCATATCTTTTCAAATAATGCCACGGGATCTTTAATGTCCATCTGACCAGGCAGACAGAGTCTTGGTTTTGTGTCATCCTGGCTCAGTGGCAGCACTCGCGCCTCTGATTCATAATGTAGTAATAATGCTTGCATTTGATATAGTGCCTTATCACGTTGTTGAGACATCTCAAAGCGCTTCACAGATTCGACTGTAAAGTGAATTGACTGTGAATTTTGTGGATGAAACAAAATATGAATGAATAGCCATTTCTAATTCTGTTCTTTTCTGATGTTTAATTACTAGGTCTCTGCTATTAGAATCAGTGAAGGCCTAAGATGTCTCTCCTTAATGCCTGGTTCATATTTTAGAAATTTGTATCTATTCCTTTGCGCCTCTACTTTGTAAAGGTTATAGAAGGTTCAGTTAACATGGCCAATTGACTCAAAATTTCTGGTCCAATCTACAATTGCCAGTGTGCTGCCTGTCATCTTTCCCATACTGGTAATCTTATCAATGTTGAGCATCATTTCAAAGATCTTCCAGATTATGGCAAGGTCTGGCCCCACCCACTTACTAGACAAATTACCAATTTTAAGGAAGTGTAAATTGCCAAAATTTCTACCAAAATTATTGCTTATTTGAACTTTCCTGCCCTTCTACATGTTTTTTCTTCCTGCATCTTCACTGTATCGAAATAAATAACAATGCGTTATCTCAATCTCCCTCCAGGATTTTTGCCAAAAGATACTTTCACCACTATGCATTATGTTTGTAATAAGCCCAGTGCCAAAGAAAATACAGCAGCGCGCATATTTCTATTAAAAACAAAGGAATCTCATTGTCAGTATATTTCTTCAATTAACCGTTCAGTATTTTAAAAAAATTAATACACTTTGAGTCAGCACAACACAAGGTATTGGCTTTTAACATCAGTGGATACCAAGATCACCTCGGAAGACCTGCGGTTTCGACTAATTTTAATTGCAATGAAAAGAATGCTCCAGACTAACGCTGAGTTCTGTTTATTGTTGTTGACAGAAATCCACACATGCAAATACATTTTCAATTACCACTTTATAATGTTAGTAAGGACATCAGAAGAAACTTCCTTTCTTTTTCAAATACTACTTCAGGATCTTTAATGTCCACCTGAACAGACAGACAGCAACTCAGTTTAATATCTTGATTTAATTTAAGACTATGCTTCTTTGTTACTGACAATGAGTGCCTGTTTAGTACCATCTCCTCCTCATTATTTAAGCATGTTATGTTCTGACCAGCAAATATGTATTTCTTTATATATTAATAATAAGTTGGTCACTCAATCACCAACTGTTTGTAGGACACTGCTATGTGTAATTGGCTGCCAGGTTTTGCCCACAAAATATACAGTGAATTCACTTTGCAGTATATTTTGTTAAGGCTTTGGGACATCTCAAAGATGTGATAAGGTGCTATATCAAATGCAAAGATTATTATTTTTTGTTCACTTTGTGATCTGTGGATAGGATCACTAAGATTACACCAAATGATGCCTGACCAGTATTTATAAAACTGGAGAAGCACCAATTTAGTTTTATATTCCAGACCTCTTGTAACAAAGGATAGTTTAATGTCCTCATCTACTCATTTTGCTTCCCTATTTAGAACATACTCCTAACCACTATTCTTCTGCCCAAAGTGCACTAGCTCACACTTTGAAATATCTCACCCCAAAGTGCAATGTGAGAGTAGAATTATAATGATTGCGATAACATCACAAAACCAATGCCATCCTGTTAATGTAATTCCTCTCCTTTCATTTCTGGGAGAAGCATTAAAAAAAGTAATGGTGATGCCCTGATTATGCTATAGACAATGCATTTTATGGAAGATCGTGTTTTTAGAGCTTGTCAATATAGTTTTGCGAGGTTTGTACTGCAAAACTATAAAACAACCTTCAGTGTAGCTCATTTTTAAATTTGCCTGTTTTGGGGACAATGCTGAGGGCTGCCCTATTCATCTACAATTATAGTCACTGCACTAAACAATGACATTTTGTGAAGCACTTAAGTCAGCTCGATAATGTAGTAATAATAATAATAATCCTTGCATTTGATATAGCGCTTTTCATGTCTTCCAGACGTCTCAACTCGCTTCACAGAATAGACTGTAAAGTGAATTGACTGTATATTTGAGGGCGAAATGCAGTAGCCAATTGCGCATGCAGTGTCTCACAACAGTTATGATTTGAAGTGACCAATTTATTATTGTTTTCTTTTCTTGAGGGATCATTATCAGGTATGTAGAGCAAGGAAACTTGCCCAAGGTTTCACCCTGCTGGGAATCGAACCCAGGTCTCTCGCTTGCAAAGCGAGTACTCTTAACCACTGAGCTACAGGACTCCATGTGATAAGGCGCAGCAACAAAAACAAGAATTGCAATGTTATTTCCATTCCAATTATGTTCTCTTCTCTACCAGGCTCCACTGACTCCCCAACTCCAGAGGATCAAATTAAAAATTCTCGTCCTCGCCTTCGAGGCTCTCCATAGCCTTGCTCCTTCCCATCTCTGTGACCTGCTAACCCCATACCAACCTGCCCTTCCCTCCGCTCAGCAGGCTCTGGCCTGCTCCATGTCCCCTGCCCGGGCCACCCACTATCGGCAGTGGAGCCTTCAGCCTCTATGCGCCCACCCTTTGGAACTCCATCCCACAGTCCCTTTGTCTTGCGTCCTTCAAAGCACATCTCAGGACCCTCCTCTTCGATTGCGCACCCTCCTACCCATAACCTCCCTGCCCTCAAACCCCCTGATCCCAATACCCTGCTCGTGTCCAAGCCCCTTACTGTCCAGCGACTTGGGATATCCTCCCGACGTGAAAGGCGCTATACAAATGTAATTTGTTGTTGAATTTTTTGCGCCGTAAATTTCCTATGATTCAATGCTTTCATTTTAGAACATATTTGCATTTCATACATATTTTCTCTGACAGGTGATGGATGTGGTTATACAATGTTGGGTCCTGGGAGTGGAACGGTGACATCAAAGAATTATCCAGGAACATACCCAAATCATACTTGGTGTGAATGGCAAATCCAAATGTCGCCTGGAAACAATATTCTCCTGAAATTTGGGGACTTCGATTTGCAGCAATGTGCATCCGATTACCTCCGAATTTTCAAGGGCATATCCCACTCAATGACGGAATATGGTAAGTTTTCAATTGCTCTTTCATCATATCTTCCTGGTCACCTCCTGGACTATCCAGAACTCTATAGCCCATGTCCTTTCCTGCACCAGGCTCCACAAACTTATCACTTCCATCCTCACTTGGCTCCACTGGCTCCCCATTCCCTACCCTACCTCTGTCCTTTAAGTGCGCATGCAGTGTCTCACATGCTTTTTGCTCAACGAACAGCGTTGGTATCTGCCTGACCATTGGTGGGTGAGTTTCCAGCTATTCCTTCCCCACTCTCTGGAACTGCATCCTGGAGTCCCTCTGACTTGCTTCAAGGCACATTTCAATAACTTATCTCTTGACTGTACTTTTGGTTTTCTTTCCCCTCCATACCCCAGTTTGGGTCCCCTTCTAGCTTTGTCAGGCACTTGAGACATCTTTCTGAAGTGAACGTGCTATATAAATTGGTTGCATTGTATAGATTTAAATTGTTCAAGTCTACTCCAAGTGGTGGATCTCAAGGAACTCGATCAATGCGACTGTCTTGAAGAAAGTGAAGCTAGTAGTTGTTTAATCAAAGTAAATTGCAGACTTGCAGAATTGAACATGTTATTGTTGTGTAATTTTTATGGTGTCCTAGAATATAAAATGCTGTTTGTATGAGTTGCTCTTGAGTTCTGTAAAACTAATGCTTGCCACTTGTGATCCAACTACCCCCTCCCCCCATGGCCCCATGATAAGATTGTGCTATTTACTTAGAAGTAATATGACTTCTCACTTAATGTGATATTTCACAGTTCTTAGGTCTCACTGTTTGTTCAAAATAATTGCTTCTTTGAAATCATAAATATTTTCCTTCAAGCACTTTTTGAGTTGAAATTCAAGAATATTAGAATATTTGTGATATAATCTTTTTCCTCCACTCTTTTCTTACCATCTCTTGTCCAAAGGGGGTGACTGTGTTTCAGTCAGATGTCTGTCTGGTACATACTGGAGAAATTGATAGAATTTACGAGAAAAATTGATAGGATTAAAAAACGATAATTCCCCTGGACCTGATGGCCTGCATCCTAGGGTTTTAAAAGAGGTGGCTGCAGAGATAGTGGATGCTTTGTTTTTGATCTTCCAAAGTTCCCTGGATTCTGGAATGGTTCCCAGTGATTGGAAGGTCGCAAACGTAACGCCGATATTTAAGAAGGGTGGGAGACAAAATATGGGGAACTATAGACCAGTTAGTCTGACATCGGTGGTCGGGAAAATTCTAGAGTCCTTAATTAGGGATGTTGTCGTGGGGTACTTAGAAAATCATAACATGATTAGACAGAATCAACATGGCTTTACGAAAGGGAAATCATGTTTAACAAATGTTTTAGAGTTTTTTGAGGATTTAACTATCAGGTTAGATAGGGGCGAACCAGTAGATGTGTGTTTTGATTTCCAGAAGGCATTCGACAATGTGCCACATAAAAGGCTGTTGCATAAGATTAGAGCCCATGGAATTAAAGGCAATATATTAGCATAGATTGAAGAGTGGTCAACAGGAAGAAAGCAGAGAGTAGAGATAAACGGGTCCTTCTCAGATTGGCAGGATGTGACTAGTGGAGTGCCACAAGGATCAGTGCTTGGACCTCAATTATTTACAGTCTATATTAATGATTTAGATGAAGAAATAGAACTTAATATATCTAAATTTGCAGACGATATGAAGATAGGTATCAGATGGAGTATAACATGGGGAAGTGTGAAGTTATTCACCTAGGTAGTAAAAATAGAAAAACAGCTTATTTTCTAGAGGGGGAGAGACTAGATAGTGTTAGTGTTCAGAGGGATTTGGGTATCCTTGTACACCAGTCATAAAAAGTTAGTAAGCAGGTATAGCAAGCAACTAGGAAGGCTAATGCTATGTTGGCATTCGTTGCAAAAGGGTTAGAGGACAAGAGTAGGGAAGTCTTGCTGCAGTTGTATAAGGCCTTGGTGAGACCGCATCTAGAATATTGTGTGCAGTTTTGGTCTCCTTATTTAAGAAAGGACATACTCGCCTTAGAGGGGTGCAGCGTAAATTCATTAGGTTGGTTCCTGGGATGAGGGGGTTGACCTATGAGGATTGACTATATTTTGTGGGTGAAACCCGGCAGCCAATTGCGCACAGCAGTGTCCCACAAACAGTCGTGGATTGAAAATGATCAATTTATTATTGTTTTGTTTTTGGAGGGATTATTATTAGGCGTGTGGAGTAAGGAAACTTGCCCAAGGTTTCGCCCTGCCTGGAATTGAACCCAGGTGTCTCGCTTGCAAAGCGAGTGCTCTAACCACTGAGCTACAGGACTCCACATATGGGGATAGGGCAGGTAAATAGGTCTTAAACCCATCACTATGCTCAAGAGTATGAAAACAATATGGAGTCTTACATATGTATGGCATCTACACATGGAAATCATAGAATTATACCGCACAGAAGGAGGCCATTCGGCCCATCTTGTCTGGCCTGGCTCTTTAAAAAGAGCTATCCAAATCAATCCCAGTCCCCTGCTCGCTCCCCATAGCCCTGCAAACGTGTCCTCCCCAAATAATTATCTACTTCTCTCTTTAAAGTTGTTCATGATTCGGCTTCCACCAGCCTCCAAGCAATGCAGTCCAGATCCGAACAACTCACTGTGTGAAAACATTTCTCCTCATCTCCCCTCTTTCTTTTGATAACTATTTTAAATTGGTGCACTCGGGTTACACTCCTTGTTCACCCTATCGAATCCCCTCATAATTTTGAAAACGTCTATTAAGTCTCCTCTTAACCTTCTTTCCTCCAAGAAGAATAATCCTAGCTTCTCTATCCTCTCCTGATAACTGAAGTCCCTCCTTCCTGGTACCATCTGGTAAATCTCCTTTGTTCCCTCTCTAATGCCTTGACATCCTTCCTAATGTGTTGTGCCCAGAACTGAACAGTGTACTCTAGCTGAGGCCTAACCAGTGTTTTATAAAGGTTCATCATAACAAAGATGACTCTGTGTCTGGAATGGAGTGCGCACACTCTCCCAGGACCACTCTGCCTGTTAGAGTTTTGGTTTGCAGGGCTAAAAGATGTTGAATACAAAGAATCCATGCCGCCAGTGACTGGTCTGCCCTACCAAGTCCTGCAGACGAGTCAGGCTGACTGGCTTGTCATCAACAGTACCCTGGGGTACAGTGGATCACCTGCCTCAGGAATCAAGACTACCAAGACCACCACTGGGAGTTAACTCGATTGAGACTTACCATTGACACACACTTGACCTTGGGGCCAGTTTAGCAACAAGAAGACCTGGGAGGGTGTTCCACCGAATTCCAGAGATTTTTAAGAGACCCAGGGATAGTAGCTGAAGGTTTGGTCACTGTTGGTGGAACAGAATGATATGACACATATACAAAGCATTCAACCCAACCTGTCCACACCAGTCTTTATTCTCCACTTGTCTTCACCTCTCGGATTCCCCTCTCCTTATACCCATCTATTCCTGCTTTTCTGATGCATGTACCATTATTATTCTTGTATAAATGGTTGATTGTTCCTGGATAGATGTCCCGTTGATGGACATGCTTGCTCAAGACTGCTTAGTGTTGTGCTGGATGATCTGAAAAAACACGATCTGCATTTGATTTTTGATCTGTCCTGGATCAGCAGAACCTATGGCGCAATAAATGTATTACTTTTAGCCTCCATGCCCCTTGCCTAGAAAAGGAAAATCAGTTCTGATCACAATCTACCACTGAAATGTCTGAGAGTGTTAATTTGTGAGTGAGGACTATATCGGGTTTAGCTGTGATGCCCTGCATAGCCTGTCAACACTTACTATCTAATATAGTAGATGGATGGCCAATGGTGTGACGTTCCTTAGGAGTCTCTGCATGCATGAATCTAGGAGTCAACACCTTCAGGTGATGAGGGGAGAAGGAAAAATATGCATTGGTCACAAATACACAGTCAATCCACTTTACAGGATATTCTGTGAAGTGCTTTGAGAGCTCTTGACAGCATGCTATATCAAATGCAAATATTATTAAGAGGCAGTCCAGGGTAAAAGAGAAGCAAAAGGTTCACCTTACCATTCTAGTTTTGTTTGAAATCTATAGTTTTCCTGTATGGAGTCCTGTAGCTCAGTGTTAGAGCACTCGTCTTGCAAGCGAGACAACTGGGTTCAATTCCAGGCAGAGGGCAAAACCTTGGGCAAGTTTCCTTACTCCACACGCCTAATAATAATCCCTCCAAAACAAAACAATAATAAAAAATTGGTCATTTTCAATCCACGACAGTTTGTGGGACACTGCTGCCACGTTTTGCCCACAAATATACGGTCAATTCACTTTACAGTCTATTCTGTGAAGCGCTTTGAGACGTCGAAGACATGAAAAGTGCTATATCAAATGCAAGTATTATTATAAACAAAGCGGGTTTCTGTACTTCTTAAATGTGTGACTTCTCAGCCAGCTGTACATAATGTTTGGGCCACGTGTTGCATCACACAGAACTATTTCATCATTCCATTTCCAATTGCCATCTGTCTCCAGTTTGTTCCGAACTAAGTCGTAACTTATGTTCAAATAAAAGATTGAATAACAATATAGCCTTTTATGAGTGGTGATGGTTATTAAATAACTCCTAAGGCTCTCGGTCATATGTTGACAGAGAATTTAATAAATTATGAGTAATATCATTAACTGGGTGGAGCAGTGTTGTTTAAATTGAATATGGTATATTTTCCACCGCAATCTGAAATGATTAAATCATCATTAAAAATGAATCATCATTTTTAATTTAATGTTTCTTGTTGAATGCTCCTCAGAAAGTCAGCCTTGAGCTAAATTTGGTTTCTTTTCTAGATTGTATTATAACTTGTCCAAAATGAAATGTTGATAATCAATAAGCTTTAGAGAGTACACTCCTGAGAATGTTCCTATATAACACAAGACTTGGTGGTTGTGATGTTTTATGTTTGGAATGCTCTTCGTAATCTATTCATTCCAATCCTTGTGTCACCAGAATAACTTGCATTTATATACCA